AACACAGTACTATGTAATTAATCTTTTCTTGTTATTTTGCAAATAAATGCCGCACACAATGATGTATACTTTGTAGGCTTCACTGAAACAGTCCTTTTAAGAAACAGAAAAGTATTTTTTGTCAGTTGTGATAGAGACCTTTTGTATTTAATAATTGGGAGTAAGGTCAATTAAATTCTTATTAAATCAGACACGTTTGCAATTGTATATTACTAAAGTATTTTGTGTTAATATACTGGTTTAAAGTTAATGGAAATCTAGCTTATTGCTTAGATTGTTTGAAGTTTTTGGATATGATGCCAGGATGACGCCTTAATATTGCCTAATTATAGCTATACAAAGAATCCAGTATTCGGATTAAAGGAAATCTTGCAACCTGTGCACAATTTCAGAGCAGAAAAAGTAAAGTCTGATATGTGAATCTAACAGATACAAAACAACTCCTTAAAGGCAACACTTACAGAAACCACAAGACTTTGAAATGAGCACTATAAGAATGTGTCTGTCTTTAAAAGCACCTATCTACCATAATTTTGAAGCTTATTAAGTTAAATCTGTGTCTATATTCAGATTGCTAATTGGACTTACTGTATTAATATGACTTTGAATTAAGTAGTAGCCTGGACTGGCGCTTACAATTCAGCTGTGAAAATACCATGAAACAGAGACTGAAGCAGCATCTCTATGAAATCATAATACAGTTTAAAATAAATGCTATGCATTGCTGTAACTTGACCTCTATAGTACTTTAAAAGTGAGCTTAAATGCATATGAATATGTATTAGCTGCACTTAAATATTTACTTACATGCTAATATTTACATAGTATTAAGTTTCATAGTCTGAACATATGAAATGTATCCATGTTTACTTATTCTAAGTCTGGTTTGGTACCTAACCTACATGGTGCTTTCTGTTTTAATATGCTTTTTCTTTCTTCTCCTGCACCCTCAAACAGCCGTGGCTGGACAACAAGCACAGCGTGTTTGGACGTGTGACTAAAGGAATGGAAGTTGTTCAGAGAATCTCAAATGTAAAAGTCAATCCCAAAACTGACAAACCCTATGAGGATATCAGCATCATTAATATAACAGTGAAGTAAGCTACAAACTGAAGGTTCTAGCTTAAGCAGAAAAAACTCAGCACAGTGGACGCCAAAAAGGGACCTAGAAAGTACAGAAATGTTTTTGATAATTCCTAGATAATACATGCCAGGACACAGCAATCACCAGTTTTACTATTTTTAATGTACTCTAAAGTGCCCTAACTCTATTTCTGGTAACTTTGTATGTTAAAGTAAAAACACTTGCATGTTTCTTACTAAGTCTACTGTCTTTCTTGCATTTTTTCTATGCAAAACTGAAGATTAAAAAAACTATACCATGTCTTAGTGTCATGTCATGTGTTAGTCTTTATAAAATAGACTCATTGTATAGTTTGTCACTTTCATGCTTGTTTTCATGTTTTGTGTCTAATTAGTCCCTTTCACAGTATTGAAATCTTTGACAAAGGAGGTGGTCAGAAATCCTAAACTATGAGTCAGCCCTTCAGTTGTATGTACACGCATCAAAAATTAGATTAAGTTGCAATAATATTTGCTATGACAAGGTATGCAATCTACCTCTGTCATTTAAAAATGTCTGTGATATCTTCTGTGTCCAGAAACCACCATCAACTCTTGTAAGGCCAGTGCATAAGGCCTGTGCAACTTGTTTGCCATTGCCAATAATGCTTTTTTCTATCAGTGTTTGCTTCCTTATTATTTTAGCCTGTTTATGGCTTCATTTTTACCCAAAGACCTAAAAACATTACTATTTCTACTGAAATACTTAGTTTAAAGTAAATAATGGCAATCACCTCAACTAAGCTTATGTCAAGTGTTTGTGATGCAGTCCTCACTGAAGCTCAGACAACTTCTCAAGCTGCTGTGAACCTGGGACTAGATATGGTTGCATTATGAAGTTGAAGAGGAAGGCTACTCTAAAATGAGTAAAATTAACTTTTACAGTTTATGTTTACTCAGGAGTTGTACAGTCCTGGCAACTTCATGAAACAAGATGTGATGTATGCTAATCAAATTCAGTTCCTCAGCAGCCTCTGTAGGAAGAGGAATTCTTCACTGAATTAAAGGGAAATCTTCAGGGATAAATAAGAAACATTGTACAGTAAGTTAAATGTAGCACAGTTCTATTCTGAAATTACCTTAAAGAACAGAGGCAAGTTTAAGAAAGAATTTTAATAAAGTTTTACATACTTTTATTGAAAAGAATTAATTTTCTGGGAAATTCAAGTTGAAGCAGCTTATTAATTCTTTCCACTATAAGAGCCCTTTCTCTCAAGAAATCTCCACTTAACATCCACACCTACTCCAACAATTTCAAACAATAATTATCTCAGAATAAAATGCTGATGTACCACATAGTCCACAATCAATATGAAGGTAGCATACAGTCAGATCATATGTAATGGTAAAACTATTACTCAGATAGCCTAGACATACTGGTTTTTGAGCAGAGATTCTTTAAAGAAAGCTACAACACAGTCACTGGATATTGTATTTACTCAATTTCACAATTAAGTCAAAAGCTATGAAAAGTCTTTTCAAATAATCCTCATAGTTAGTAATGCTTGAGTGAGTTCTAGTTGAGGAAACATTCCAATTACATACTGCATAAGTCAGTACACTAAAGTTCAGTAAAACAGGTGAAACAAGCTTAAATTTATAACTGAAGCAGTTTATATGTAGTAATTTATAACACAAGTAAACCTCTTAGTGTACCTGTTTACACTGAAGAGCTCACAGACAAATGCAACACTTTCACAGTTACTTCAAGTCATCATAAACTCCATTTTAAAAACACTTTAATGATAGCATTCCATGTGTCACAAGCAATCCTTTTGTATTCAAAAATATGCATGAGTGAGTGTTTTTCCTCTGTCCTTAACTGAAATGTTACAAAAAGTCCAAATGGGTCACCTTGAACATTTTAAAGTAGAAGGAGAACTATACTGAGAGGCACGTATAACTAAAGCATAGGCCAGCTAAGATAATGTTACAGACTCTGGATTTTTCTAAAGAAAGCATGTCTTGCCTGTTTAAAATATACCAGAAAAAGGTATCTACCAAGCTTAGCAGAACTTCTTCATATTTTTAGAAGAGCTATGAAGGGACAGTCTGTCCTAACTACGTCCACAACTGCTCTGCAGTGCAGGGTGAACAGATGCTCAAGTCAGAGCAGCCAATCGTATTTTGCAAGAAGTTACAGGCTGGGAAGCATGAGCAATTTTTAGTTCGGTAGTTACAAGAAAACACCTTTCAGTCCATTGTAAACTACTTCCAGATTTATCAGGTTTTCTGAAGAAAGAGTAAACACCCCTTCTCAGTACCTATGTACATATGTAGGCATTGAAGCCCATTTCACAAACATTTAACTACTTTAAAGCTTAGTGTTCCTTCAGCTACTATTAAGTCATTAGACTTGCTGAAACTGAAGCTGCATTTAACGCATTTTACATGAAATACAAGTAACAAGAGAAAACTACAAATATATGTCATTTCTCTTGAAGAAAAGTGCAAACATACTAAATTATTTATTTATACATTCTTGGCTTTTTCTAAGCTATGTAGTAGGAAAACATAAAATTGATAATATTACAATAAAAGCCATAGCCACAGATAATGGGATACATTTTCTTCACCAGGTAAAGTTCAGAGCTCTTACAGGTAGACACACTTTCCAGTGTGGCAAAAACACCTACCCATCTGTGAAACAAGACAGCTCACTGCCACTGTCTGATTGTCCCAATTCACCTCTACTCCAGTAAGAAAAGTGATGACAGGGAGTTTTGGTCCACTGGCCATGCTCTTCATAGCTCTTCTACTAACATGAAGAGCTCCATGGCACAGCTTCTATTGGCAATGGCTGTGCTCTTAAAAAGGAGGCCAGAAGATTTTGGTGTGCATATCAGACAGATAGTATTGTTATCATTGCTGCACATGCAGCAGAAAAATAGACATCACTAAGTCGCTGCAACCTTCTCTATATTTAAAAAGTGCTACACCCATATGTTACGGGTTTGTGAATGACTAATCTTTGAGAGCAGAGGCATTGGTGGCAGTTCCATGTAAAAGATACAGTAGGAATTGAAAATCTAATTATGGAGTGTTTATATAACATTTTACCATCTGCTCTTCTAAGTCAGAGCTACAATCAGTGTACACTGCTTTTACATGGTGGTGTTTAATATTTTAAGGCCACTACCTTAATCTGGAAGTATGACTTCTACGTAAGAGTACAGCACTACTTCTTCAGGAAGGTTTTTGGGTGGTTTTTTTTAAACTCTATTTGACTTCTTGAGGAGTAAGCTTAATCTCCAAAGGCAGATTATGTCCTCAAGCATGCACAAAACACTTTCAACTCAATATCACTGTAAGCTGTGCATAAATAATTTAGCATGTGCACAGTTATCAAAAAACCCCAACTAACCTCTCCCCCTAGTCAGAAAACAACAAGCTAAACAATGCCAGAGCCCCCAAGCCCTGCAACACTGTTCCCTATTTTCAGTTATGAAAAGTTCCCTTTGCCCAGTTATGCTGCCTTCCAGTAACAAACAGGGACGCTAATAAATAATGGGTGAAACATTTTGTGGTGTATTTGCACATAATTTTCAATGCCACCTTTATGCATTCTTTAGATATTGAAGAGTAGCACCATTTATTTCTGACTAATAGAGCTGGCTATTCTAACAACTTGAGATGGATTTTGAAAGTATTTCTAACTCACTCAAAATTTTTCTGACACCCATTAACTACTGTAATCTTGTTATAACTATTAGATGATCTCTAACACATATATTATCAGGGAAAAACTGTAAATTGTAACAGCCTAATTTCACAAAAAAGAATTTCAAGGCACCCTTGTAACAAGCCCATTCCATTACTTCTAAATGTGTCAAATTTCAAAATTTCAAAAACACTATAATGGCACAAGTTTACTGAACCAATTATCCCATCTAGGAGAAAGGCTTGTATTTTTCTGTAACCACCAAATTAAATAAAAACCCCTTTTCAGACAGCAGACCTGGCTACAACATCCTAAATCGTGCAAACGTATCAAAACAGTAAACTACAACCTTAAACTGCAGCTGCTGTAAAATTAAGCCACATCCAGGACACCAGCAGCTACTAACTGCCTTGAAAGCCAGTCCAATCCTTCATAAAGTCCTGTACCACTTCGGGCATCACAAGCCTGAATATACCAGCTACGGCCACAGCAGAGTTTGTGGAGACTGAGCAGTTCTGTGATTTCTTCCACTGAAAGTGCACCTGCTACATCCTGTAACAGAATCAGATACAAAGACTCAAATTATTTTTCCATATTATGTTTGAAGCATTTTACTTTTAACCAATGGTTTAGATTGAAGCTACAGATCACATGAAAGCTTTCCAAACACAAAAGCTAAATAAAAGTTACATATTTACTACTTGTTACCAAAAAACAAAAACTCATTGTTGAATCTACTAAACTTCTAGCATAACTTCTTTTATAAGCATGTAAACATCTTTTCCACATTACCTATTATGTTTGAAGCATTTTACTTTTAACCAATGGTTTAGATTGAAGCTACAGATCACATGAAAGCTTTCCAAACACAAAAGCTAAATAAAAGTTACATATTTACTACTTGTTACCAAAAAACAAAAACTCATTGTTGAATCTACTAAACTTCTAGCATAACTTCTTTTATAAGCATGTAAACATCTTTTCCACATTACCTTAGAATTTGGTACATAAACTGAGGAAAAGAGTAACAGAGTGAAAGAAAATCACAAGTACCTGTTTATTAGCAAAGATCAAGAGCAAGGCGTCCCACAATTCCTTCTCTGTTAATAATTTTGCAAGTTCACTGTGTGCTTCACTGACCCTGTCTCTGTGACTGCTATCAACCACAAACACCACCGCTATGAAAGAAAGAAAGAAATGCTTTATATACATTCAAATATAAACTCTCTAAAATTAGCCTTCAACTTATACGATTCTTTTTTCCTAGCAGTCTTCTATGTGAAGCTTTTCAGCAGCACACAACTTCAATTTCAAATCCAGAACCGAGAAACACTTACATACTTCTATACTTTTGACAAAAATCTATAATTCATCCTAAAACAGTTTGAAGGTTTTTGCCTAGTCTTACATAAAGGCTGTGATATTTTAACTACTTATGTCTAAAAAACAGATTTACTATGTGTGGATTAAGTATCTCAGTTTAAACCATTTCTTGATTCACTTATACTCAAACAACTCTCATGTGACTGTTCCAGTTTCCCTTAACTGGCTGTAAAATCTTTGAGTTCAGATAAATCAGCACAGATTCCTTCAGCTGCAGACTACACAATCCAAGGAGAACTGCCATAGACTCAACACAACAGCAGATGATTTTACTGTCTACTACAGAGAGTAAATCAAGATGCCAGAAAGACTGGAGAGTCAGCAAAGCAGAGCTAGAGGGCAACATTTAAACTCATGGGTCTTGAAATGAAAAACACCTTAACATCAAAACTAAACAAAACTTACTGCAGGTATGTACCAGGTTAACTGCTTTGACTTTTTCTCCAACATACAATTCTTCAAGGCAGACATGATTCCATGCTATTGGTGTTTACACAGTAAATTTTAAGACGACAACAGAAGTATTAAAATACAGTTTTTAAAAGTTTGAAAATAGGAACAATTTAAAATGTTAAAGTTAGCAACGAAGGCTGCTGCATGAAGTGGAGCACATAAACTGGTATTTGTCATTCCTAGTATTTGAGATAATTCTTGAATGAATTAATGAAGAGGAACCCCTTTCTAAATTGGAAAACAACTACGGAGCATTTCAGAACAGCATTAATTTCTAAGTCAGCACCATTTAGATCAATGTTTTCAGTATCAGTAATTTAGTCTATGACTAGATACTACACTGCAATACCAAGCCAGAAGTTACAGAATTTTGTAGTATTTTTTAAGTTGCCAACTAAAGGTTCCTGAAGACTATTTTCATTTCAAGCGCTATTTAAATTTCATACCTGGCAAGTACTATTTCTCATTATGTAAACTTTGGAACACTGCACCTTGTCTGTTGTCATCTAGAACCAGTTTAATGGATTCTAATTTTGTCTGGCTCCATGAACTGTCTGATCTATTTATGGAGAATGCACCTTTATCATGCAGCAGACACTATGACCAACTGGGTTAAAATTTCTTAGCCCATAAATCTAGCAGCTGCACTTTGCATTAGACGAACAATGTTCTACAGTTATCAATTATTTCTATTAAAAATCTTTTTGGCTCTGAAATACAAGTTACAAGATAAAATACAGTTTAACAGTTGTATTAGTCTCACCTTGTGTATTGAGATAATAATGCTTCCACAAGGGCCTCAATTTGTGTTTCCCTCCTACATCCCAAATAGTAAACTTCAGATTCTTGTATTCTACTGTTTCAACATTAAAACCTGGAATACAAATATTGAAGCTTTATGGTCTTGTTCTGTATGAACATAAAATAATCAAATTTTATATATCAGTCACACATCCAGAAAAAACATTACATTTAAATCATTGCTACTAACCTATAGTTGGAATTGGCTGCATGAATTCATCTTGTTTTAACTTAAACAAAATAGTTGTTTTGCCAGCTCCATCTAATCCTAGAGTAACAACCCGAATTTCCATTTTTGGCCCAATATGTACCCTGTTGTCCTGGAAGAAACAGCATAGAGAAAACAAGATCAAGATTAGAAAATTCAAATTAGAAAACTGTTATGTTTAAGATAATTATTTTGTCACTATTTGTAAAGTGATTGAATGCATGCACTCCAAAAATACAAGGCACAATCATCAATTACCTCCAGCAATAATATAAACTCAAATATCCAATAATCTCTTGTAACAAACCTGTAACTTCTGCCTAAGGTATCACATACCTTTTAGAAAGACAGCCTATCTCCTGCTTGTATGCCCTGTAAGCAAAATTCCAAATTCTGTCATCATTTTTGGCTCAAACCACATGAGGAAGCGTTCACAGCAATTAGAATTCTCTGACCAGAGAAAACTGTTGCTTGTGTAGCTTTTCCACTATGTTTTGTCACATTATTAATGCTCCCACTTCCTTGTTGGAGGCTCTATAACTACACCTTTTCACATCAAGCCACATCCAATCCTTTACCGCATTGCAACAGCAACATTATTAGCATTAAGCAGTAATCTGACACAGTGAAGAAAAATATACCAAGTCTTGCTTGGAAGCAAGGAAAGAGAATCAACTTCCTACCTGTAGTTTAGACCAAGCTACCATGGGTGTTGAACATGCTGATGTTAACAATGCAATCAAGTGGTATTACTAATATAAAGCAGCAGCAAACCATAAATTGTAAAAAAACCAACACAGGCTAAGATTGCTATGTATGCCTTGAACATATTTTGAAGTCCTTAGAAATGGTACCTTGATGAAAAACCAGAGTTTCAGCCACCAGAACTATATGGCAATACATTTGTTTTCTAGACAAATCCAAACAGCACTGTGCTGGGCAAGAAATACACAAAACCTGTGTCTACCCACGCAGCTTTTCATTTATTCTTGCATTAAAAATGCCATTTATTGAGTGCAAAAATGCTACAACCTCTCCTGGTACAAGTTCAACACAAACCAGTGTGACCAGATCTATAAACATCCATGTCATGTGACCTGAGATAGATATAGGATCCATTATATAGCTGTTTGTATGTCATCATGACATGCAATTCCGTCCTACCCTCAAGGCACAACCTCTCCTAGTACAAGACCAACACACACCACGACCTATAAATACCTATGTCATGTGACTTGAGATAGACAGACAGGCAGATATAGGATTCCTTATATAGCTGGTTATATGTCATCATGACATGCAACTCCATTCTCCCCTCTGCCATGAACGAAGTAGCATACTGCCAGAATAACCAATACAGAAGATTTCATAAAAATACCAATTTGTCACAGGAGAAAAACAGATTTCAGATCTCCTACTACAGCTTTGCTGGCAGCAACCATTCTCTTTCCAAATGCTCAGAAATCTGCAAAGTTTTCTGAGTCAGATTAACAGCTCCTAAAGGCAAAACCAGACACACAAAATACCTCTCTGACTCAGCCTTGTAAGATGGTAGCATCAATCAGCCCTGAATACACAGAATGCAATTCATCATACATGAAATATGAATGCTGCTCCATTCATGGATAAATTTTGCAGAAGTTTCAAGTTGCAGGTTTCCCTGACCCTACTAACTCTGGTCTCTGCTGAATAGGGAAGGGAGGGGCAGAAGTGAAAATGCTGCCTTTATTGATCTGACAAAGTAATTATTAAATGGAAATTCAAATACACTGAAGTTACAAAACAAATTATTTGGAAGAAATTTAATTTCTGCCATCAACAAGGACTGAGATAGAATTCCCATGTAAGTGCTGATTTCCTTACAGTAAAAGCTTCCACAGCAAGTTAAATCCTGTTTCATCTCAGCAACAACAGATCCTATACCTCTTTCACCCACTCAGAACAAACAAAACTCCCATAAATCAAAGTATTTCTTGTTCTTTAGAGTTTCAGACTTACTCTCCTATGTGAAAAGTATCATCACTATCAAACCCCAATTAATTTAATCTCTTTCAAAGAACAGGTGGTATTCAAATGTTATTAAAGCAATAAAAACACCTACTTAGAAGATAAACTGCGTCTAAACTATCAGTGAATACAAAGCAACTATAGCACAATCACTTAACAAACTGAAAGAAATATAACTTTCATTTTATATTAAAATAATATAATAGCATTATTGCGTTTAAAAATAGCTATGAAGTTTTCAGGAAATAAAATAAACAACATTCTGCAGAAATTATGCTATCTTCATGAAAAAGCCAAAAATACATAGAAAAACAAAGGGCACATTCTTAGTGAGTTGAATATACAACAAATCAGGGATGTTTCCAAAGAACTGTGTCTCTAGAACTCAAAAATACCATCTTGCATATTTAAAAGAAAGCAGCTAGCGCTCAAACACAACTACTTATGTAGTCAATGTCAAACAAATGTTTCTCACACTATAACAGCACAGTGATTTTGTTGCTCAAAGACCAGATACTGCTCATTATATGACAAGACACTGTGGCTCTAACTGATAGTGAACTGCCTAAATTTACTGCAACAAATACAGCATCATAATGAGCACATATTATTTCTGCTTTCTTTTAAATTACATTTGAGACTTACTAAAATGGATAGCTGTACTTTTATGAAATTAAGAATACCTTTGTAAAAGTGACAGGTATGCTAGCGTCCAGCTGAACATGATCTGCAAGTTCTGTAAACTGCTGTTGCTGTTTCTGTAATGTCTCTAGCAATCTTGTAATTTCCTGTTTGGCCAACACTACTCTGCAGTCATCCTAAACAGACAAAGAAAACAAAAGCATGCCGTTCCTTTACTAACTTATTTAAAATACCAAAACACAAAGTAAATATGATGTCTGGAAATAAAGCATTTTCAGTAGAAATACTCTAGTTAAAGAAACTCACAGTTACAAAGTAGACTTATTTAAAATTGCAATACAAATGTGAAGACCCTGTCATTCTTCCTTAATACTAATAGATACTAAACAGTTCTGCAGTTTTAAAAAGCTTTTTCTTTGACCTCTCTTAGTCCTGTAGGAATAAGAATATAAGAGACAGTAATATAATATATAAAGATATGTATATCATTCACATATTATTCCAGCAGCTGGAATAGAGCAGCTGCCGTGCAGCATACAGCAAGACACTTAACACAAAGAGATTAATATGCAATCATTAATGATGGGAACATATGCATAGTTAAAAGTATACCTGACTAAGAAACCAGACACTTGCTCTAAATATTTATTTTTTTTAAGTACAAACAACACATTATTAAATAACACTCAGTTTATTGTTCACTATATACATTATTCTTGTTAACACTAAATGAAGTGAATAATGAACCAACTAGATACGCTCATGTAGCCACTTCCTTCACATATTTAATATGTTGAATTACCTGTGTTATAAGTGCTACCAAAAGTTATTTAGTCCTAAAGCATTTTTTGACAAATATCTTCAAACACGTATACCAGTAATTGCAACTGTAAAATCCTTCCCATAAATCTAGTGGGTTTTTTGCTTCAGCATCATCTTTCCTTTCTACTAACCTCACAAAAAAACCTCACAAATAACCTCACAATTAATCAGACAAGAGAATCATGCCACAGGATTTCCAGCAACTGCAGGACTTGATGCTTTTGTACTAATTATCCTTGTTTAACAGCCCCTAGTAATTAACAATTCAATCTCATGTTGTTTTAACATCATAAAGGAAATAAAAATGCAGAGTACTGTCTAACCTTTTAGTCTGTAGTCTAAACTTAATTTGCAGTTCTACCTATCTTGCCATATGTTACAGCTCACTTGCCAACCTACCTGTTGTAAAGTCTTCTCACAATGAAGGCAAGCTGTGGAAACCTGTGACAAGAGAATGGTCATGTCTTCTTGCTGTTGCCTAAGCCAAATCAACTTCTCTCTCACGTGAGCATCAACAACACTAAGAGCCATTTCCTCCTGACGACAAAGTGTTTCATGAAGATCAGAAAAATAGGCTCGGACACACGAGCGAGCGTTCTCTGCAGTCCCAGGTACCTACAGTGTTGCAGTTAGGAGATTCAGGGGATTAAGGATACCAGTTGATTCCAGAAGTACAATTTTCATTTTATTCCAGCTTCTAACCTATGTTCACATCTGCTTGGCTACACCACAGTTCAAGTCCCAGTTATACAGACAGTCTTGTCAGCCCTAAGATCAAGATCCTCCAAGAAGTTACTCCAATAATCAAGTAGCTTATTAGTATGTATACACACCTCACTAAAAATGACCAGGGAAAAAAGCCTCAATAGTACCACAGCACCTGAGAACAGATGCAATCTGTCACAGTACTGCAATACTGTACTAGCAGTTATACAGCTTTCCCTAAAAAATGTCTCATTATTTTCATGTAGCCTAAAAGCATCAAAACGGACTACAACTTCCCTTGTACCTGCTGGTTTAAACCTCAATACTGACTTGATAGAGATAAGAAATTAAGGTATTGTCCTATAAAACTTATGTATAATTTTCAAAGAAATCCCTTATTTTGGTTATTACAAAAATGGAAATACTCTGTGCATGCAGGGGAAAAAAAAAAAGCATACATGTTCAGTATGGGCCATTCCAACTCCATCTTCAACTATTTGTTCTCCTCCTTCTATATGCTGAACAATTCCAACCAATTTTCTGGAATAATCTGAGATTTCTTCTGTGAAAGTTCTTATACAGTGGGCCATGTCTAAAATTGATGCACGAATCTGGTTTGCTTCTGGTTCCAAGACAGAATGCTATTAATTTGAACATATCAAAGATCAATCATAAATATCTTCCTTAATCATCTTTTCTATTTAACTACATATTTACTATATATGTATGTATAAGTGTATGTATACATATATACCGGAAAGGCAAACAATAATTTAAAAACATATTGCAATTTGAAATGAAACCAAGAGTGACAGATTATGTTAAGATAGGCAGGTAGCAATTATACAAGTAAACATACAAATTTGCCTGTTTACCATAATCAATTATAAAAAAAGAAAGGTGGTTAGATTGCACCAGGTTCGGTGAACCTAGTGTTTGGATGATGAAAACAGCTTTCAGAACTGATGACTGAAAGCTGTGAGAAGTTCAGAAAAGCATCAGATAAAAGGATTGTCCATCTTTATATATAAATAACTTCTTGTAGTCTTAGAAATATTGTCTTGTAATTTTACCACAGCAGTTACCTGAAATGAAGGGAAAATGAAAGAGCAGTACGAAGTTATTCTATAATGACATATCAAGAACCTACATTTCTTTCTTGACAGTCTTTTCTACTTTATTAAATAAATAATTACACAAGCAAACCTATGGCATGACTAGAAATGGATTACTAGCAGTACCTTATGACCTTGATGTTTCCCGTATTCTTTGCAGACACAACACATAAGAGGACTCGCCTGACAGCCCTCTTCTAAACAAACAAACTCAATAGCATGCACTTGGTGTTGGGAGCACATGGTCTTCTCATGAGGTTTATCAGCAAGAGGTACACGTCTGTGTTTCGCTAGTGTCTTTGTAGAATGAGTAAGCTGGGAACAGTCTGCACACAGGTGAGTGGCACAAACAGTGCAATATACTGATGCAACATGGGCTTCATCTTCATCGCAACGAATTATACTCTAACAACAACAACAACAACAAAAACCAAACAAAGAAAGAGACAAAACTGAAGTTGTTAACATTTAATCCCAGGAACTGAGAAAAATCAAAAGACCCACCACCACTATAATCTTGTAAACAGACTTTCTTTAAAAGTTACACAGTAATAAATATTCGGACTACTTTGAAAACTTGAATTTAAGTTCCAAATTATTTTTTAAAAATAAAAGTCAGCTTCTTTTACAGTCAACTCCAATAAGTTATTCTAGAACTGTTCTGTGATCTTACAAATCCAGACTTCAGTGGACGTTGCAAATGTTTGGAGGCTAAAATAATTCAGGCTCCAGTCATTTCCTCCAAAGCAGCCATTACAGAACAAAGAATTTAAAAGTAACAGACAAAACATGAACACAGAAATATGCACTTAGGACAGTTATCTACTCCTAGAACGGCACTGAGTGATACTTTCTGCATACCAGTTGCTAAGGCTGAAATGATTAAAGCAACTGGTTTTGATACTGAAGCACCATCACATGACGTAGTGATATCAAATTACAATAAAAGGCAACTACTTCGGAAGCAGAGTTGAAGTCTTCAGGAAGAAGAATTGTTAGAAAACTGTCCTTACATCACTTTAACTAAAACATCCATATGAGTAACGCTTTCTAAAAATCTTAAAAGCCCATAAAAGGGGAAAACCATATGGATGCTTGGCAATACCTTTTTTTCTTCTCTTTTAGTCAGTACAGATTAGCATTAAATTATGAAGCAATTAATTGAAGCTTTAGTACTAGATACTGAAAGAAAACAACAGCATTAATACGGGAATTACATTTGACAAAGAACTTCTTTTTTTCCTCCTATCTACAGAGAACTTTAAGTAAAAGTAACAAAATTTTTGCTTTTTTTTTTAAACTCAGTACCTCTCCAGATAGACCAATGGTGTCTTCTGCTGTCCCACACTGCCCAGCAGGTCCATTCTGCAATCGTTCCAAGAGTTCCAACAAAGCAAAATTCTTTTTCAAGCCCCAGACACCAGAATCTCCTGTTTTTGAGGAAGAGTTACATGAAGGGGAGGAGAGGAATAAAAATCTCAAGCAAATATGACCATAAGAAGTTCCACAAACCACAGCTGAGATACTGACAAATATTAAGAAAACATCTAAGCTCAGTGCACTCCACAAAATAAATTGTGCACAAAAGAAGTATTTCAACTTTTGTTTCCCACAGGTCTTGAAGAAGTTTATAGACTTTATGTTCTGGTCCTCCACAATTACATTTAGCACCAACACAGTCATCTGCCTTGATATATTCTGACTTCAGAGCTTAGTTATATTTAGCTCTAGCACTCCTAGCAGCATCACAGTGCTTTTTGTAACAGAGCAAGGAAAAGTCACCTCTTTTTACAAGTTGAAGAAGTATAGAGCATAATATCCAATTTTAGAATCTAAGTTACGTCAAACCTGTTTGTAAATGTAGTCTGGATTTGCTGACGCTGTACCTAGACAGATTTCTAGACACTAACTCCCAGAAAGCAAAGAACAGAAAAGTGGCTAGGTGGTTCTCCTCTACAGTGTTTGTAACAGCACTGTCCCATAGCAAACTGACTGTGCACCCCACCTTCAGTTACTACAATATAAAAGCAACATACCAATATAATGATTGTTGATAGTAACATGGCCCTTGTATCTCCAGGTTAGCCACTAATACAGATAGCCATTAATAGCAGAGCATATATGGATGTACACATGCCAAAAAGATAAACCTACTAACAAAACAGATTATAGCAAATTAGCCTTTAATCAAACACTGGATAAGGCTGAGAGACAATGCAGCTGTTCAATTTCTTACAAAGGCATTTTCTTTCAAAGTTTTTAACATGTTTATTTAAAAAAAGAGAACAACAAAAAAAAAACAAAACAAACAAACCACAAACTAAGAAATACTCTCCTCAGTTTACATTCTCATATTTGATTTTAATCAAGTTAGTTCTTTTCCACATCTAGCATGAAGAGAAAGTCCAGGCAGAAAACTCAAAGCAGAACTGATTTATTGATATGTAAGAGGAAAAAATCAGAAAAGACACATCTGTAGCTCTTCTGTGTTTGTTTTCTAGTTCATAACTTCAAGCTCTCAGGAGAAGCAAAGTTATACGGCTTTTACACTCTTTCTTTAGCTTTTTATTGTAAATCCTGAGATTTACATGTTGGACATGGACATGTTATACTTTGTCAGTGCACTGTAGATCTTGGACACAGATAGAAAATGAGGCAACGCTTACATTTAAGTTACTAATCTACTAAACCAGAATTTATAACGAGTAAGCATCATATAAAACATGCATTACCATACAGAAAGTCGTGTCTCATTTCACTGGTATATACCATAATGTTTACATATTTGAGAAAAAGCCACCTTGCTCCTTTTTACACTAAATCTACTATCAAATTACTACATACTCAACACAGACATTTTCAATACATCTGATGAAGTGTTTACTTTATATTTCAAAACACTAAAAGATAAGTTGTGTAAATACATCTGTTTAATCTCTTGGACTTTAGCTCAAATCCCACTTTGGTCACAAATGTGAAAGAGTCTAGTGATCTCATTCTCGTGCCTACAAGGGATGTCTGTGTCCATTACAAAGTAGGAAGTGTGTCAGTCAGGAATGGGATAGTGACAGAGTGAAGATACCAAGACCAATTTCAGCCAACAACACAAATGCTGCTTTCAAAAGCATGACACTTGTCCGCAAAAAAGGATTACAAATAATGCAAGGAATAAAGAAGCAACTTTTGTCTAAATGTCTGAACAAAGTCGAAAGAGT